GACCAATGCAAAGAATAAAATTAATTAGTTTTATGAAATAATAGCATGTTGTTAAATGTTATACAATTTCTCTAACATTTCAAACTTATATAAAAAAATGTTTATTGGAGTATGTCTGATAATTCTAGGCTGACAGGAAGGAACGTAGGCAGAGTCAGGTTGGAGTTAACGTCACTCAGTGGGAAAGCATTTATCAATTAGTGCAGTCATTGCAGAAGGGAAAACAGAAGCATCAACAGCAACGCTTTAACTCAACCTCACTTAAACCTGTGTTAATGTATGACGATTTATCTACACAAACACCAAAGGTATTAATTGTTACATTATTTTGTTCTTATATATTTACTTGACATAATATAATTCAAGCATTGTATTTTTTATGTATTTCTCTACTGCATCAAACTAAAAAACATCAATAAAATTTAAAATGCAACATTTTATAACTTAAAATGTAATATATAAATCAAAATTAAGAAAGAATAAAAACAAGAAATCAATAAAGCAATACATGAATAATAGTATAGACCAAAAATACACTGGCCAGAAATTGTTGCCATGTCAAAGGGTATCAACTTTACTTTGGCCAGCTTGTATCATTGTTCCCACTTGGATTCGAATATGCAGTAAGTTTTATTGACCCTGTTGCTAAATGCTCAGCTGAATAGTAGGATGTTGTGAATACATGATCAGTGTAGTTGTGGAGGCATCCTGTAAAAAGTTCAGTACTGTGTGTTGTAGTATCACAGGCTACAGAAAGATTTATTATTATTTTTAATCTAATATATGTGGCAAAGACAAGCTGTTATTTTCCCCATTTTCAATGCTAAAACAATAATTTTTAAGGATTTAAAGATAGTTTTTGCATGAAATCATAAACTTTGATGGTTAATTTCTCATATATTGTTCTTTCAACAACTGTGTGGTTAAACGCTTGTAACTTCATAAGGAAATGTCCGATTTCAATGATTTTTTACCATTTTATAGCTATTATTTTACTCTCTAACATTGTATTAATAACTCAAAATCAATATTTACGACGAGTGACTGGTTTGGCTTGTCTTTGTCACATATGTTGCTTGGTTTTTCTTCCCAACAAATTGATTATAAATCACTGCCCACCTTTCCAAATTATAGCCTGGTTTGTTCTTGTTTTTGTTCACTGGTTGTTCAATTTTCCTTGTTAATTATATATTATTTTCTCACATTCGAAACTGATTCTGATAAAATATCATGAAATAATATATTTAAATATTGAAAACTCGAGCGCATAATTTAATCAATTATTATTAATTCGTTAAAAAGCAAAATGTATACACCAATAGAAACAAATTTTGCACAAGATCGAAATTTACTGTATTCACTGCCCAGTGGCAGTTTCAATAAACCATAAACATAGCAATGTAATTCAGTGTAGTTTGTTTACCGAGGCATAAATGACCTCATACTGCATCGTCCTTTATGTAGGTCACAATACTTTACCAAAAGGGGTGTCCTGTTCAAAAAGCCAAAATAATCACTAAATTTAAGCGTTGTAAAACAAATTATTGATTGACATACAGTATACAATTTCTTCATTTTAAACTTTATCAGGTATTTAAAACCCTGATAGATTAATAAAAAAACACTATTAATATATAAGCTCCAACAAGCTCAGTCTTTCAGAAATAGAATTGTGAAACAAGCCCACTGTACATGGGTGCAACAGCCATACTCCTGGGTTTCACCATTATTCTACAAATGTAAATTGGCCGTATCTGGACAAAATGTATCTTAACATCATTGTCATCTTCATAATATTCTTTAACTAACCATCTATTTTCAAACATTTATTATCAAACTATGTCTAGATCGCACTACTGTATATTTTGTATATAAATACAGCCAATTTTCACTGTCCAAACAAGCATTGATGTGGGGTCCTATCTAATTCCATAGGCTTTGATTGTACATTTAATTGCAAACGTGACAAAAGTACAAAATAATTAGTCTGTGGAAAGCATACATTATGTCCAAAAAATTTTATTTTAACATATTTACATCTTTTATAGGCAACGAAATAGTCTATTTGCGCTTGTTAGATATTGAATGTTGTAATACAAGCTATTGGCTTAAAAATTAGATAAACTCAACTATTCACACTAATAATCTAAAGGCCTGCAACTTGCTTGCAACGGTAGCGATAAAAAGCTATTGTTCATATAGAAAATAAAATCGGTGAGAAAAATGTTCACACTAGTATGAGTCCATAACGATTTATCATGTATACAATACAACAATATTTTCGTAAATCAAATGGCGTTATAATCGTGGCAAATCGATAAAATCATAGTAGTAACAATGATTTTATCGCTATCCTATGATTATGACGTCATTTGATTCGACTTGTGAAAATATTTTTTTATTGTATACACGTTATCGAATCATGCTAGTGAGAAAACTTCTCTTTTCTTTTATTTTCTATATGAACAATTGCTTTTTAGCTTTTTATCATTATTCAGGGACGTATCCAGGGGGGGAGCCGTGGGAGCCGCGGCTCCCCCCCCCCACCTTTGTACACAGTGTTAAAATTTTAAAGCTTATTCTTGAGCCAATACAAATTCTTTCCTGGGATCACTTAAAATGAATACTTCGAAACATTTAAATATGCATCAGTACACGTTATACATAGGCCTAATAGAACACATAAGCCTAAGCGTGATTTAAAAAAATCTTAAATCCATAAATCTCAGGCCAGCTATTTTAAGATAGAAATGCGATACTGTGGTTCAATTTCGTTTTTATCCTTTTGCAAGTTTCTTTAAATGTTTGTTTAATAATACTACTACTAATAGTAATAATAATAATAATAACAATGATGATGATGACGATAGTAATAAAATTGATATTAATATTAATTTTCTCACCTCCTGTCTCTTATACACATCTAGATGTGTATAAGAGACAGACGTAGGCCTAATCGGTAAGCAAGGAATTTCTGTTGTATAAAATTCATTGTGAAACGAATCAGTTAGATTTGAATATTGGCATATTGGCATTCAGGTTTAGAATTGATGGTAGGTGTCTAGGCCAAGGGCCAGGGGCCAGGGGCCTTTATTCAAATTGAAGTGCGAGAGTGTAATTTCCGGCCATCTAGAGATTCCCTAATCATAAATTTTCTTACCTCAGCCCCAACCATGGTGGGGCTGAGGTGGGTGGTTCCTCGGTCTGTGAAAGTCCCTCTCTGGTTCACCACTCTTTCGAATTCCTTGATCTGCCACTGATGATTTATTATATAATTATTTTTTCGCTTATTTATAATGCGTCTATTGAAATTTTCACTTTATCCTCTCAAACAGTCCTAAGAACGTTCAGTGTGCGCTACTTCACAGGGGGATTCGCCCCCTTGACCCCGCCGGGGTCATACGTAATTCGCATAACGGCTTCCCCCCCCCCCTTTCAAAATCCTGGCTACGTCCCTGATTATTGTTATCGTTGCAAGTATAGACAGGCCTTTTTAGTCTCGAGTGTAGAAAACAATTCAGTCTGTGGAAACAGAAACCTTCTACAATTATTATTTTAAAATTTAACATATTAAATTATACAAAATTGTTAAAGTCAGACTCCGGTGGGAAAAAAAATGATATGTTGTAGAACTGATTTTTCTAGGACAGAAAAAAGTAGTTAGATCAAAAAGTGAGCAACGGTGAATGAGATACAGATTTTTGAATATTTAAAAAGGTGTAAAAATGGGCGGTTACGCCCCTTTTTCTCCCAGTTTTTTAAATATGCACATCTACAGCATTAGTTATGCTTGATGGGCTTCGACCTGCGATCTACTCTGCGATGTTAGGGTTAGCTAAGGTTTATGAAGGATCACTTAAATTTCAAAGCATAATATCCTTTGAGAACGCTAGGATAAGTAAATAAAAGTCAGAACAATTGTACTACCTTTCCTATCAATTTATTTCTCGCCTTCACAGTGGATGGTTGTTTTCGCAACCATAACATTATCTTTCCTATACTATCACACTATAATGTTTTTCATGTATACCCAAGTTAAGTCACATGACCGTCTGTAAACAAGCATCTATTACATAACATGAGAAAGATCATAAATTAATCAAGCAACAGATTTAACAATTACTAAAGTTGGCTGGGATTGTTGAATACAGCTCAAAAGCTTATCAATCTAATTGTTATTAAATAATACAGATACAGTTGAACTTGCCAAAGTCGATTTCAAAATGCCATTGAAATATTGTTCGACTTACAGATTACACAACAATTTAGCATGTAAAATAAGATCTAAAATTATTCAACAGTAAAAATAAATACAGTAAAATAAATATAATTTGTCAATTACATGGGTAGACAAATATTAATGAAATTAAATTAAATTATTATCTCCTAATAACGTTTGTTGGTTCGTTCGTTCATTCGTGTGACTCCATAGTCAGTGGAGCTACACAGGTCCTAATGTAGTTTCCTTAATAGTGGATAGTCGCGTATAATGAATTCTAGTTGCTGTTATCAGTTGACTGATACAGTCTTAGCAGGGTCACCACTCATAATAAAAGGTAAGACTACAAATTAAAATACATATGATTATAGTAAATTCCAGATTAATAACGATATTATGAGAAAATACAGTACTTCAATAGAAAAAAATACAAATATAGTAACTCTGAAAAAAGAGAGACATTTTGAAGATTCAAGGTTTCAATCTATTTGATCATTCTTAAGAATCATGATGAGAAAACTTAATTTATCTACATATATTTATAGTGTAAAAAAGGAAACTTAAAACTGTCTTAAAATAAATGTAAATGTAACTTAATGTAAAAAACATGCATGATAACATAAAAAGATAAACAGGTATTGTTACAAATTCTTTGTCAATTATAATACAATGACATTAGAATATGATAGTATATAGTATATATTTATTGATTTTAGAGGGGCAGAATACATCAAGTGCACCCTTTGACATCAACACAACAAAACAAAACAAGTGAGGGCAACATTATATTTTAATAATTAAATATTTTTATTGTTTTGTCACCATGGTTTGCAACTGCAACTCTTCGTGGATAATATGAAATGATTGATAATCCAAGTGGAGATTCAATTCCATCTTCTTGTTTATCAATTCTTTTAATGAAATTTCCATCACTACTGAACAGCTGTATTTTGTGTTGACTTGATATGATAATGTTGTCATCCTGATCAACTACTACTCCACGTGGTTCCATCACCTTCCCATTTTCATCACCTGCTTTGACAAGGACTTTCATGAACCGTCCCTCATTATCAAATAGTTGTACTCTGTTGTTGTGAAAATCCAATATAATAATATTTCTTTGATTAGTAAGAAAAAAATCACTAACTCCACTGATTTCGCCTTCTTGATCGTCATTAGTCCCTATGCTCCTGATCTTCTGTCCGCTGTCAATGTTGAATAGCAACACCTTTGACCCAAGTCCTACATACACAATATTTGATGCCTCATCCACATGAATACCAAATGATTTATTCAATTCCACCTTATTAATTAATTTTATCACTTGGCTATTCATATTACATATTGTGATGCATTTGTTTCCCCAGTTATTGAATGCTATGTTACCATTTTTCATTTTGTACATATTGAAAACTTCCACACCTACTGGTAGTGTAACATTACCAATACATTCTCCTGATTGCTTGTACTTCAGCATTTTATTTGTTTCACATGAAACCAGTAAGCAATCATCTTCACACTTAACTATATCTTTAATAACATATGTGTTTATTTTAATGGTATTTACTATTCCTTCCTTCTCTACATTGATTGTCACCGGTGACTGCTTAATTGGTTCGCAATCAGCAGTCAGATCTAGTTTGCAAATACCTGGACTTGTACATTTACCTGTCACAAAATAATCTCCATTGTCATCTTCATCAACTTGAGTGTTGGAGGTTTCTCCTGTAGGCTGTGTCCATGTTGCCTGTAGTTGATTTGCCTGTATTTCACATTCATCTGTTTTTATTATTTTGACAACAATTGTTTGACCTTGGGTTACAGATTCCATTCCTTGTAACTGTAAACAGTCTGCTGCCCTCACAAATAGTGTAACATTTCCAATAATATTATTGCATTGTTGTAATGAAGCAATTTGAGGCTCATTTATTTGAAATTTAATTTGTGTGTTATCACTTGGCTTTGTTTTTGGCAGTTTTTTTATTCTGTCATTCAGTGCTGTAATTGCTATTTCACTTGATTGCAGGGCTGTTGCTTCATCACTCTTCAATAACTGATTAAGCAAACTAATTTTTTTATTTAAATCAGATATTGTTGTCTTCAATTCACTAATTTGTACATCAACTGCCTTCTTTTTCTCTTTGTAGATTGTCTCTACCTCATTTTTCATTTTGTCTCCATTCTCTTTTATTTTCTTGACCATTACTTGCACATGGTTGTCAATATCTCTCAAACTTGTATCTTTACTATGCTCTAACTTGGTAGCATATTCAATGACAGCTTTTAACCCATCTTGCAATTGGTTTTCACATTTATAAGCAGCTTCTTCCAATTTTTTAGACGTTTCTTTAAATGATAGGAATGCTTCTGAAATATTGATTGGTTTGTGCTTTCCTTCCTGCTCCTTGTGATCCATAACTGTACAATTTATACAGATTGGAGTTTTACAATCCGTGCAGTAAAACTCGAAAATTTTGTTATGAACCGAACACAGCGGTGGATGTAATGCAGCAAAGTCTTGAGGAGTCATTAATCGCACGTCCTCCACTGTATGCAGCTTGTGATTTGCTAACAGAGGAAGTATTTTGTGATGGTCACTACAAGTAGAGCACAAGTAATGTCTGCATTCCTGGCAGTAGTATTTTGCCTGTCCTTTAGCACAAACGCATTTCATCTGATCTCTTTTGGAAATGTGTTCAATAGTTTCTAATAAGTTATTCACAAATGTATTTGGTGGAAGCTTCTTAAGTCCGCCCTCGGGAATGGCATATGAACTTGAGCAGGTTGGACATGTCAACTTACCCTTCGCTTTAACCCAGTCTTCCAGACATGCCAAACAGAAACTATGTAAGCAGTTGAGGGATTTAGGATTTTGAAGTCTCTTCATGCAAATAGCACACTCCAGGACCTTCTGATCAACAGTTTCCAGAAACTGGTTCAATTCACTGGTAGCCATCTTGAATTATTCCTGTGAACAATAATTAAATATGTTAAAAATAAAAGATAAAAAAAAATATTATTTTTACCCTACTGTCTTTTACGGTAATTGTCTTGTCATCATAATGACGTAATTAATATAAATGCCTGTTTAATATATTTTAATAAGGAGAAATATTTACTAAAATGAGGCATACAGATTAATTAATTATTCTGTACAAGAATATAATATAATGCTGGATTATCAATCAACTTTGGTTTGTATAGCAATAATGCCTGCGGCAGAATGTAACGTTCAGTGGCTCAATGACATTGGTTTTAGTCAAAGTGCATTTGATTGAAATGCAAATATTGATAATAAACCCTAGATAAAGGGGGGGGGGGGGCTCACATATACTTGAACTTTAACCTGTGCTACAGACTTGAGAAAATGAGGGTTGCAATTATAAGCATCCAACCTGCAGTCAAAACATTCATACAAAGTATTATCTGTAATTTTGTTAATTAGGTTTTGTGTAAGCACATGTATACAGTATTCACTACTTATTTAATCGATTTTGGAGTCTACTATATGTAGAAAATACACATCTTTTTTTCTCCCCGACGAATTGTGGTTTTTCTCCTCGACGGGTAGGGTCATAGGCCTGTCTCTTATACACATCTAGATGTGTATAAGAGACAGTTTGTACACAGTGTTAAAATTTTAAAGCTTATTCTTGAGCCAATACAAATTCTTTCCTGGGATCACTCAAAATGAATACTTCTAAACATGTAAATATGCATCCGTACACGTTATACATAGGCCTAATGGTTAATGGTTATTAATTTATAGAGCGCAAAATACAAAAAGTCTCTAAGCGCTATCAGGCAAGTGTAAAGATGGAACGGAAACCAAAACCACAAAATAAAAAGAAGAACACATAGGCCTAAGCTTGATTTAAAAAAATCTTAAATCCATAAATCTCAGGCCAGGTCTTTTAAAATAGAAATGCGATACTATGGTTCAATTTCGTTTTTATCCTTTTGCAAGTTTCTTTAAATGTTTGTTTAATAATACTACTACTACTACTACTACTAATAATAATAATAATAATAATAATAATAATAATAATAATAATAACAATGATGATGACGATAGTAATAATTGATATTAATATTAATAACAATAAAAAGTGAAGAAAATTGTGCTAAAAAGTTGTGATTTGTTGATCATAATATAGTATATATAGTTAAAGCTTAGTAAGCTATAATTAGGCCTAAGTTGTCCTGGATATTAGGTAGATCCCTGATAAAAGATCATGAGAAATTTGTTGGCGTTACATTTTGAATATAATGGTAATGTGATGATGATGAATTTTCCTATATAAAAGTGGTGGGGCTGAGGTGGTTGTCGACTCACAAAATGCCCTCCCCCTCCACCTTTCAAAACTGATCTGTGCCATTCCCTGGGTATGACATTAAACTCCATCGAGTCGGCTACAGATGTATGTCTTAGTGACTGCTATTTGTTTTTAGGATGTGATCTGCTTTTTCATGTACATTTTTTCGTGATTATGACTATTCTGGATAATGTTTTGAGCAGAGGTGGATTCAAAGGCTCCCCCCCCCCCCCTTCAGGAAAAAAAAAAGAAAAATATATTCAAATTGAAGTGCGAGAGTGTAATTTCCGGTCATCTAGAGATGCCTTAATCATAAATTTTCTTACCTCAGCCCCAACCATGCTGAGGTGGGTGGTCCCTCGGTCTGTGAAAGTCCCTCCCTTGTTCACCTCTCTTTCGAATTCCTGGATCTGCCACTCTTGATTTATTATATAAATATTTTTGCTCTTATTTATAATGCGTCTATTACAATTTTCAGTTTATCCTCTCAAACAGTCCTAAGAATGTTCAGAGTGTGCTACTTCACATGCACACAGGGAGATTCGCCCCTTAATCCCGCCGGGGTCATACGTAATTCGCATAACCCGCCTTTCAAAATCATGGCTACGTCCCTGGGGTCAGCTCTCCCCGATGTGGGGACCCTGGCCCCCCGGCGCCCCGCTGGCGCCACCCCTGCTTCAATTGGGGAAGTACAGCAAATCAATTCTAATAAAATTGTAGTTAGAAAAGGGAAGGTGTAAGTAACACAGAGGTTTTTCAAGAATGGCTTAGCTACGTATATGGACAGGAACATAAAGTTAGCAGTTTGAATAACTCTGTGGTTGTACTAACTCATTAGATGGTCTCAGTTGATCAGCACTTGACAAATCATTAAGTACACAAAACAAAATTACATTTTGTGATTGCTTATAAATACAAAAAAAAAAACAAGTATTATACTATTATTAAAACAAAATATTAGAACCTATTACAGTACCTTAGAGATGAGACGCGTTACTGTTATCTTTGCTGAGCAGCCCGAAGTTCTATCTGCGCGGAATTGCTCAATAACTGGGTTTTTACCACTGAGTTTTATCTTTCATGTGAGCTGACATTTATTTACATAATGGCGTTACTTAATCTTCAGAAAGATGGCATTGAGAGATTGTCGTGTTAGTCATACAGCAAACCAACAAACTAATCAAATCAGTACTGTACAGTTTTTAACTATTAAAACATAAAACACAATAAAAGGATAAAGTTCACCAGTAAATGTCAACAAAACAAGTTCATTATCTGAAAAAGCCAAGGCTGCAACATAATAATCCCTGGATCACAAGCTTGTGCTTGTGGTTATATAGTGTTGATTTTGATTGTCAAGTACAGCAGCAGCATGTACTGAAATATTTTGTTTCAATTGAGTTTTCTGATGGGAAACATCTACCAAAATAGCTTAGCAGTGCCTACTGGTTCATAGTAATTGAACTCAACGCTAGTAACCACTATCACAATTTTGGTGGTTTAGTGGCAATGATACCACACTATTTTTCTGACAGTTGTGGGTTCAACTCCCACCTGAATCCCTTTGCAAGATTGTTGGGTTACTGACCTATTCTAAAAACATTTAGTGTGTGGGGTGAAGCCTAAATGTGGTGTTTTTATTGCTCACCACACCTTAATTTCATTTATTATTAATACAAGAATGAGAACAAACAATAAAACAGATGGTTAGGAAAAAACTAAAGCGACAAAAGTCACTATGACTCACGAGTCAGATATTCCAACATAAAATAATTATATACAAGACATGAAATACAAATAAAATAAGAAACAACAATAAGAATTCAAAACGGATTACAATCATTATAATGAAATTTAAAATTTAAAAGCTAAAATTTTAAAATTAAGTGGAAAAATTAAGTAATAAAAAACTTTCAATAAGAAATTGACACATTGCCATAATTGTTTTAAAAGGGTTAAACAGTACAATACATTGGTAATAATAGTTCGTAATAATAGTTGGTAATAATAATAATAATAATAATAATAATAATAATAATAATGATAATGATAATAATAATAATAATAATAATAATAATAATACTTTAACCCCAAAACCCTAATTGCAATAAAGCGATTTTTGAAGTTAGAAATAAAAGTATTAAAGGAACAAAGGACAGCAAGATCTTTAATATGTAAAGGAAGTGAAGTCCAAAGAACAGGGAACTGGTGAATTGGGGTGAATTGAAGAGTCACTGTCCGCGCGAAAGGATGCCATAAAGAGATAAATTCAGTATGACCTTCAATGTGTTTTGTTATGCAGACAAAATCCTTCTTGTGTACCTTGGTGTTACTTTATTTTCAAATATGAAAGGTATTGTTATATCAAAGAACCTTTTAGCAAAATGCCAAAGGGCCTTCCTTTCTATACAATTTGAATAAAAATATATAAAGTGTTACTTTAATATTAGACTTTCTGCTATTAAGGGCAGGAAGATGCCAGTGGGTTGGGGGGTTGGGTTGCTGCCTGCATTTTCCTCCTTTCAAACAGGCCTATTAAAACAAATAATATTTGCCTATCCAAATTTTCTTGTGATTGTCAATCCCTGAAACCTACAAGGGATTTTTTTTATTCCGGGTACGGACCGGGGCTCTAGTCAGCCCCCTTGGTTTGGACCCCCATCGGACTTGTCAGAACCCTTGTTTGCAAGTTTCTGGCGTCACAGATGATTAAGGGTGCTTTTAGTCTCTTGTGTTAATAATGAATTTTTACTTTTTGATAATTTTTCAATTCCCTGATTTAATCTATTTTTGGTGTTAAATATTGTAAACATATTAAATTGCATTTTAAAAATAAAACTTGTGTTTAAATCATGGTATCTGTGATTGTGTTCATTATCTTTTGTGTATATTAACGATTTTGTTAGTATTTACTATTTCTTATCACACTTTTTTTTAACTTTTAAATGCTTTCTGATCATTTTTGACATGCAGTTTGTACCTTGGTTCTCCCTCTGGAGGTTTTATCGAAAAATAAGTAAATAATAAATAAAAAAATAATATACAGTACGATTACATGTCAGGTTGAGAAGTTGAATTTCAAATAAATTTTCTTTATGAATGATTTTCATTGACACTAACCAAGTGTTTTGAAATTATTGTTTTATATACTGTATTATGATTTAAAATGGTGTACCACTGACTTAAAAGTTGCTGCAATATAAACCTTATTGTCATTATCATCATTATCATTCGTATCTGAATTGTTATTGTTTTGTAATAAAATTGAAAAAAGTATAGAATATTACAGTAATTACTACTTTACCCAGTATTCAATTACAACTGCTAAACTTGTATTCATTTTATATTCCTAATAATATATTATTGTAATTATGAATATTGTAAATAAACATGATAGCATTCCTATGATAAAGTAGGTGTAATATGCAATGCTTTACCAAAAAAAAATATTTATTGTTAATGTTATTTTTCTTCCAATAATGTTGTAGTCTGAAAGATCCAACTCAGTCAGCTACACACCAGAATTCACAAGGTCACCATCAATTATGCAAAAAGTTCGACAGACCGCTAGGAGGGCGCTATCACCAACATTGAAGAAGAAGACTAGTGTCAGGAATCCCTCTATATTCTACGACTCAGAATCATCAGCTACAGAAATAGAACTCAAACAGGCTGAAGCAATTGGTAAGTATTGCTGCACTGAACTAGCCAATTTGATAAGCCAAGTGGAGCAATTTATTACAATTAATGTGCAGGGACGGATCCAGAATTTGAAAGAGGGGGGGTTAAAAATATTTCTAAAAAAACCCCAAAAGACAGGGGGGGGGGGTCCCCGGGAAAATTTTGATTCCTAGGAATTTTTATTCCTAGACGGCCAGAAATGAGCTTTCCCGACTTCCAAAATTCAAGGTTTTTTTCCTCTTGAAAAAGGTCAGGTAAATTTATCTCTTCCTATAGAGAAAAAAAATCAAAGACATAGGCTATATATTATTATATTCCAACAATATTGAATAGTTCGATACATAGTTTTTCTTCCATGGATCGATGAATCAATAGGCATGAAGAACGCACTTTCGTGCATAAATTATTCCGTTGTCGAACAAAAAACAGTATTTTTAAATTGAATTGAAGGCTAGTTCAGCTAAGCCTAGTTGTCCGATCTGCCAACCTATGCATATAGGTAGGTTAGCATGCGTTGTGTAATCCAGGACCCAGTAGTATTTTGTTAGGCTTCTTCACAGAAAGGGAGGGGGGGTTGTCTGAACCCCATTAATCTGCCACTATTGTGGCATAAAATTTGAACTACGAATCAAAGATCAAAGAAAGTGCCTCAGTGAAGCCTTCCTCTACAAGTTTGTTAAAGCGAACCCCTTTGATAAACTAGATTCACCATCTCCTCTGATCAATAAACTTCAATATAATTATGAAATTTTCATTCTAGAAGGCTTCACTCTAGAGGAAGTTTCTGCCCTAACAAGTTATTTTTGTGGACCCTACCAGCCCATCTAAGTGCCCCAGAACCTCAGGCCAGGTGGCTTTTATTGAAAACTCTGTACTCATCCCAAATCAACAATTAAGAAATAATGAATACATTTACAAATTGCAATCTAGAATTCTTGAAGGAGTTTTTAACCCCACAAGAGTTTTTGCATCAGACCCCACCAGCCCACCTAAGTTTCCCCTGAACCTCGGCCTCTTTTAGGAAACTCTGTCCTCCTCATTGGCCTGTAGTGTTAATCATTTCAAAAGCATTCATTATGGTTGATCTCGTTTTTGTTGATTTTTTAGATGATAAAGAAATTGACATACCATTTTGAACAGCATTTAACCTCGCACAAGAGGTTCAACATAAGGTCACTTGTTTTGGAATACATAGACTGTCAGATGAAGCAAGCTAAACAGCTTCTGCAACTTTTATGGAACTCTGTAGGAGTTGAAGACCAGCAACTTAGTTCAGCTGGTGTTTCCTTGTAAGTATTAAAAAAGGGAAGATAACAAAAATGCAGTGTGCTCATTTTACAACAATACGCCTTATGCACAGCTATTGGAAAATGCCCGCTGCCCTTCGATTGCTTTTAAAAATTATATCCCTAGCACGATTTGTTGGTTTGCTTAATTATCGGTTTTCTACATAACAGTTCTTCGTAGAGTGTGATAGTTATATAAAGATACTATTTTTAGAACTGAATACTGTTGATATCTTATGTGAACACACCGCCACTAGACAGTCGGAGCACAGCAGGCAGGCAAATTTGGCTGTGTTCTCTTCCATTACAATTTGCTGGGCTTTTTTTCAAATACCTTTTTATCTCTGATAAAGCTTTGGTTTTTCTTTAATTATGCGTCGTCTTTACATGAAATGCTATTTATATTTAATAATAATAATAATAATAATAATAATAATAATAATAATAATAATAATAATAATAATAATAAAAATTCTTTATCTCTTCTCATTCTGATTGGAAATCTGAAATTTCCAATTAGCCCCAGTGCATCACCCTATTATTGTTTAATTATTAATTATTTATGATTATTTTCTGCAGCTTAGCTCAGAGAGTGCAGCTTAGCTCAGTCGGCTAATCTGGTGGTAGCAACTGTGTTTGCGCTGAACCGTGGAGATCTCTAGGTCCCCGGTTCAATTCCCATCGCTGCCTCTCCTTGTGTTTTAGCTAGAGGGCTGAAATAAAAGTTACAATAGCGCACCGTCTTTCGGATGAGACGTTTAAGCAATTGGTCCCGTGTGCATTTATGGCCCACTTGCACGCTAAAGAACGCAGTACACTCTTCGGAAAAGAGTAGAGGATTGTCTCCCGGTTTACTGCCCAATCACCACCAGAAGGACCCCACTGGAAATAAGTCTTCTAGACTTTCGTGGGCTATCTTTGGTGTTTACACCGAATAAATCCAATCCAATCCAATAGTGTAGATGTTAATTATTTAGTAAGTTAATCAATAATTATATAAATCATAACCAATATTACAATTGCATTCAGTAATAATCATTATTAATTTGTATTTGTCAGAAATAAAGTTTAAAAAATATTTATTAAAAATGACAAATTGTTTTAAATGTTATTGCAGACACAGTCCAGCAAATGATAAAGATAACCTGTTGTACCATCTGCTGGAAAGGTATTACCTAGCAACAGAGAGTGTTTGTTTTCCATTTCCTTCAGGTTAGCCTCAATTTGTGGCCATTGATTGCATTACACTATATGAATAATTAAAATGGATTAATCGATGATGTATTAAAATCACCATAACATCATTTGTAGTATGGTTTCTGATTACAGTAATTGCATTAAACTTGTAATATGTTAATGTTGCATATATTTTATCGTACTTTTTATTTATACCGCCAGACATGTTTAGTGTCAAGCAAACAAATTTATGACTCATAAATGATACTTTGGGAGTGGGACTTATTGAAGCCATAAGAAAAATTCTAGTTTCAGCATGATTTCAAACCAAAAACTCTGGGTTGGGAAAGAACAGCATCTCAGAGGTGGAGCTGGGGAACACATTATACTTCCCCCGCCCCCCACTATTTTGTTGAAAATATAAAATATGGTGAAATAATTGCGTGCATTTCAATACATGTATATGAATTACAATCTTTCGGTTTTAAAGAAAAGTAAATTCCAATTTGAGTCTGAGAGGGCTATTTCTGTCCATCTAGAGGTACTCTGGGCCTTCAATCTGTAAAAAAAATCCAAAAACGACCAACATATCAAATTTGTAGAAATGTATCGTAATGACTAACCTACAGCTTCGCTAATTATACGACTTTTTTCTGTATTTTAGGCTTCCAAACTTTTTTCACCTGTCTCGGGTACCGTTGCCTTCGTTACCAATCATTCTTGCAGTACGTCGAGCGAGGGGTATTTCAACTCACCCCAGAATTTGTACGTAAATTCTTTGCTGAATTTCCAGATGATGAAATTCATTCTGAAAGGAAACATGAGATTTTAATCCAATTGCCACAGGTGCATCATCGATTTATTAATTAATTTATTTTATTTTATTCATCCCAGTATGAAGAATACACAAAAACTTAACAGAATAACCTACAAGTTGATAAGAACCGAGAAGAAATCAAATCAAATATACTTTTATTTTCCATACAAAAAAGTAGTACAATATACAATAAGAATGCAAAAGAATTGAAACAAATACATTGTATGGAAGGAGGCTATAGTAAGTTCAACAAGAGCTTTAAGACGTAGCCACTTAAAAAAAATAATAATAATTATAAATAAAAATAATGTTGGAAAAATTACTGGTACAAATGTTTAGTTTAGTTAATTTTAGTAGAACTAATAGAATTAAAAAATGTCAAGATACCGATAAAATTTAAATAATCCCAATCCATTGTGTATTCGTTTAATTTAGTTATCTAATATTTAAGAAACAAAAGAATACCATTTAATATAATGGCATTGTTAATTTTGTTTCTTTTTTTTGCATAAAGACTTATTTTGTAATTGATTGTCATTAATTTGTATTACATAGACCAGGTTGTTTTCTATCGTAAAACAATATTTACCTGCAAGATATTGTTATAGGCTGGTATTTGGGTATTGATGTTGCACAGTAATGAACAATCAAAGCTGCGTATTCGAGTCTGAGTATCGTAATTTGGTCTATTTTTGCACACTTCCTCAAATGTTATCCAGAATTTGGGTTTAATACAACCATACTCATCCAATGGAAGCAATCATAACTACTTAGCCATTCGTTAAATTATTATGAAAGTAGTCAGTTATCTAATATATGTCTCTATCAACCTGTGCTTTGTTATAGTCTGACGCTTTAGAGATAATAGAGGACTGGAAGCATCCATTTGCCCTGAGGTACCTAGCTCAGCAGTATGTTGAAGAAACACTCAAACCCGACAGTAAGAAATTAAGCTTACTGAATTTTTTCTTAAAATATAATACAGAAACATATTATATAATGTATTGACTGACTAAAGTTTTTCTCATTCCAATTTCGAATAGTGTGTCAAAAACGTAATTAAACCTTTATACAATTCTTTTTTTCAAATATGCAGTTGACATTTTTAGGTCATGACAAAGGTGTATCCTTTGGTAAATTAAGGAAATATTCAAACTAATACTAAATTTTGAATTGTATGTTAAAAATGTAACCTTGAAACAATTCAATTTCAACCATTTAATTTTTTTAATTGTTTGGTCATGACAAAAATATGTCCTTTGGTAAATTATGGAAATATTCAAACATTTTATTACAAATACTAAATTGTCTATTTATTTTTACTACTTCATTCAAAAACTAATTATAAGCCAATGTAATGGACTATGCAAAGAATACTTAAAAAGTAAAACATTATTATTGATATTCTTGTTGTTAACATACATATAAAGTTCATTAATCTGAAGTATTTTAAAGTATTTATAAAGCTTTACCTTTCTCTATCAAATTTGAAATTTGATAACAGCAAGGCTTAATGATGAATGTTGTTTTTATTGTTGTCGTTCTCTTCGTATCTACCAACACCATCGTCGATGCTGCTCTTGTTCAATTGATTTTAAAATTTCCTTTCATGTTTTTTTTTTATTCAGGCTGTTTGGAATATCCGTTTTATTTAAACAGAGAAACTGCTATTGAGAATGAGTCAAGGCAGGCCAGTGTCAGCTCAAAGCGTAAGTTAAAACTTGTTTTACCTAAAAACAAAACTACATGCCAACAGCCAACAACAATCCCTTATTTCTGAACAATACCCTAGATACAGTACTACAGTAAAGTACTCTAAATAAGTATCACGAACAAGTCCTCTGGATAATTAGACAAAGATGGAAAACAACCACTTCTTCCAGAAGTGTCTTAGATATTTACTCATTAGACAAAAGTCTTCTATAGGATTAACAGGGTACAATCCCTTTCCCTTATCCATAAAACAAAACTCGCCCTGTAACCAATGGACAACGCTCTACTCTTTTGATAACCATTACATATGCAAATATTCTGTAGAAAAGTTGTTAAGGGATAATTATTTATTTTGCCTTTTTTTAATTATCCATGGACACATGTTCCGTGAGAATTTGTTCATGGGTGCTTGTCCCAGCCAGGTTACATACATTAAGCCATGGAATAATTTTTCCTAATTTCAAAGACAGGAAGGCCATGACCTCTCACTTATATTGTACTAGTTGAAGGAATAAGGGTATCTGCTAGTATACTTTTTAATTATTTTTTTTTTAGCTGTTCATTCAGATGATGACCAGGAGGGAATCACAGCAGCATTCCCACCTCTTGGGACTTTGTTAAAACTTTTACAAGAGAAAGGTTAGATGATGATACTTTCACTCACTTTGAAACTAATCTTATTATTATTTGAGATGGTATAAATACAAAAAACTGAGTGATTTTGATGGTAATAGTTACGAAGCAAGGGCAGCAGAGGCAATAGATAATGAAGTGAAAGAACAAAGGCGTTGGATGGTGATAGTAGTGATGAGAACAATAGCAGCAGTTGCAGTTGGTGATATTAGTGATGAGAACAATAGCAGCAGATGCAGTTGGTGATATTAGTGATGAGAACAATAGCAGCAGATGCAGTTGGTGATATTAGTGATACGAACAATAGCAGCAGATGCAGTTGGTGATAGTAGTGATAAGAACAATAGCAGCAGATGCAGTTGGTGATATTAGTGATGAGAGCAATAGCAGCAGATGCCAGTTGGTGATAGTGATACGAACAATAGCAGCAGATGCAGTTAGTGATAGTGATACGAACAATAGCAGCAGATGCAGTTAGTGATAGTAGTGATAAGAACAATAGCAGCAGATGCAGTTGGTGATAGTAAAGATCATCAGAGGAGGGCAGGATAAAAATAAAAATAATTTTTTTTTTCTTATTTAACAAATAGTTTTGCCAAAAACATTCAGATGGAGAAGAAAATAAAATTGAAAAATATTATTGGTGAATGTATTAAGATAGGATGGTTTATTGCTTCAAATTTATATAATTAGGAAAAAATAAACATCTTATCTTTTGAGATTTCAAGGCAGCGGAGGGCGTAATAAAAATAAAGAAAAACTTTTATTTTTATCTTAAATTTCCGCATTCTCGTGGCGGTGGGTGCGCTGATTGGCAAAAATAAAATTTTATTTTTATTTGCAATCATCAATATTTGCAGTTGGCGGGTTCATAAAGAAATACAGTATGATGATGCAAAAAATGACACTGCTGAATTAGTTGCCATAATCTATTTCAGATCCGAAAGTAGTCGTCGTGAACAATGGAGTGAATAACCAACCTAGTTGCTTCCAGATGGAGCCAAGGAAAGTCGAGCAAGTAGCCTTACTCAATACCATGGAGAAATATGGGAATAATCTGTCAGATGTCACATTCTAAAATAACAGTTTTAATAATAATGCAACGGTACACACATTTATTAAGTATATATTATCAACATAATTTAATTTAGTTTAAAAAGTATATGAAATAATATCCAAATAATTTAATTTAGTTTAAAATGTATATGAAATATTAAAACGTCAGTAAGTAAGGAAGAATAATTGATTTATCAAGAAAAATTATCAATATTGCATTTGATATTATATATGATAGATGTACGGCGAGACCCTTGTCACTAGAAATTTTAGAATCGAGATGGCGATTATTAGGTCACATCCTAAGACAAAATACAAACAATCCTAAAAACCTGGCAATCAACTTCTACTTCACCGAGACCAATAACAGAAAATTCAGGGGACGTCCAAGGACTACAAAAATCACAACTCTTCATAACGACCTCAGTAAGATCCAGTCTACCAATACTCAATATCCTGCTCAACTAAAAATTAAAAATGATATGGAGAAATTAAAATTAATGGCACAAAACAGACACATTTGGAAAGGGCTCATCGAGGAACTAAGTAAAGCGGCCGAAGCGGAACTGTCATCGGACTTTTCGGCGATACGGCGATGATGATTATATATTAGTACTTACAGGATTCTTTTCTTTTTGGCATAATGTTTCAACATTTTTGGTAATCATAAATAAGAATACAACTACCGTATTTGTATAATCGGGAATTTATTCAAGGGAGGCATTCATTTTTTTTTTTTTTTTTTTTTTTTTTGAAAATTGATACATATTCTACTGGAGTAAAACATTAATGTGTTAAGAGTGATGTTGTAGTCTGTGGGAAATAGCATTTTTCACAAAACAAATTGCAAGAAAAGGTTTTATTACTGAAATGTGTTATATGGACCATACTAAACATTAATATCAGCGTTAGGACATTTTCGGACATCTTGAAGTATCCTATTGTGCTTCGAACAGGTCATCCCATTCATAGAAGCCTTTTGATGGAGAAAGTGTGCCTATTAGCAAAGGTTTTGCCCAGATCGAAACTAACTCCGGCTATATAAAATTGATTATAAGATTGAATATATTAATCTTATTATTGTAGTAGCGATAGATACTATTTTATTTATTACACTTCATCACTGCAAAAATACAAGAACAATTCAAAAAACAAGACAAAAAGTAGCGAAAAGGAGGGGATGAACAGGTGTCAAGCACCTCTATCTACATCCCCCCTTGAACAGATTACAGAACCACACAAAATATACAAGAGAACAAGCGAAAATACAGAACATTAAAATAGTAAAATAGTAAATATACAAATTTAAACATACAGTACAAAATATAGCTTAAATTATTAATTATCATTAATTTTTAATTTATTACAAAGAGATAGAATTGTATAATGTACATTAAAATTTATTAATTATTTGTTAATTTAAATGTTTATTTACAGAGGCTAATAAAAGAATAGGAAAAAAAAAAAAGACACTCAGAAGAGTAATAACAAAAAATTTTACAAAAATCGAATTAAAATAAATTTAAACCAGAACATCAAAATATTGGACAAAAAAGTTAAACAGGATGAATACAATTTAAAAATTTCAAAACAAAATTACTCCATAATTAAAAAATTAAATGACAAAGATATTGCATACATTGTAATTCAGAAATTATTTAAAAATACATTAAATGATTGCACAGAAGACTTCAACGTTTCAAATAATCAGGGGGAAATCCATTCCCACACAAATGGCATGACACACACTCAGCAATTTCTGCACAGCGCACAGCGACAACAAGAGACCTACGTGCAAGTGTCAGCGGGATCAAAATTGTTGATAAATTTGTTGTTATAGAAATTACGGACGTGCCTCTTGAAAAATGGAATATATGTTGTAGACCATAGTATGGTAGCTGATTCCATATGGGGATAATTCTCTGAAAAAAAAGATCGTTTATGGGATTCAGTGTTACACTTAACAGGCACGAGAACATGCTGGTCAGAGGCAGATCTAGTTATTCGACAACCTTCGGTAGGAGAATTAAAGGTGACAAAATCTTCAAAGGGTATGTCACAGTAACCATGTATACACTTGTGAAAGAACCTAAGATCAATAATTTCTCTTCTGTAAGACAGTGGTAACAGTTTAAGCTCACTGAGCCTTTGTTTATAGTTAGTATCGGGATAGTTAAGAATAAATTTGGTTCCCCAACGTTGAAGTCTTTCAATCTTAAGCAAATTGCATTTAGAAGTCCCATTCCAAAGAGAACTACAATATTCAATATCACTCCTGACGAATGCTTTGAATAATGTTAATGCAACATTTTTTGGTGCATTGAATTCTACCGAACGCTTTATCATACCCATTTTCATGTTACATTTTTTAACAATTTTGTGAATATGATCATCCCAACACAGGTTAGATGCTATTTCAACCCCAAGATCCTTAACAGTTTGGGTTCTGTCATTCATCGTTCTGTCAAGGATACAGCCATTCATCGTATAAACATATTTTATAGGTTTTCTAGAACGTGTTAAAGATAAAATTTGACATTTTGACGGATGGAATTTCATTTTCCAAATATTACTCCACCTAGTAGGAGCGTCAATGTCCAACTGGAGCTGGAAACAATCATTAACTGTATTAATTGATTTGAAACATTTAGCATCGTCGGCGAATAATGCAACGCTCGAATTCAGGGCAAAGCTTGGCAAGTCATTAATAAATAACAGAAAGAGTAGTGGACCCATAATGGATCCCTGTGGGACACCCGAAATTACTGGAAGCCAATCAGAACAGACGCCTTCGATTACTACACGTTGCTTCCTGTTTAATAAATAGGCTTTAAACCAATCAAGAAGATTGGAGTGGAAACCAAAAGAGCGTAATTTGTGCAATAGTAGTTTATGGG